AGAGAACAGATGAATTTCGTAAGAAGACGTCTAACAATTAGGGTTTCAGGGAGAAAATCATATATAAAAAATTGTTTTTTTTTAAATTTCCTCACAAAAAATCGTCACTATATTATCGTAAAATTATGGCAAATGCAATAAATATTAATATTGAAGATCTTGATAAGTTGAATATTAAAAAAATTCATCAATTAACTGTGACACAGGATATCATAGGTTCAACAATACATTCAGATGAATGGAGAGGATACTTGCCTTTAGCAAATGAAAACGATTACACTCATTTAACTGTTAATCACTCCATCGGCTTCGTTAACGCAACAACCGGCGTACACACTCAAAATATTGAAAATACCTGGATGCGAGTTAAAAGAAAGCAAAAAAAAACAAAGTGGAATACGTCGTACGTTACTTTTAACTTATTTAGAAGAATTTATGTGGAGACAGCATTTTGGAGATAAGCCATTCAAAAACTTAGTTTTGCAAATTCATTCAGTGTATCCTGTTGTTTAATTTTTTTTTCAATAAATATCTCTTGTTCTTCTGTGACATCTATATTTCATATTTCATATATCTACGATAATGGTGATATGTCAACACCAATAGAATTTTTTCCTGTTCTGTATATGTTACACAAAGGGGGTGTCGTTCTTCTATAATTGTACCAAAACATATGAGAAACAACACACATGGTCGTTTTATTAAGTGAAAAACAAATAGAAGACGAATGTTTGAAGATTTATCACCAGAGAAACCGTTTTTCAGTTATTTATGTGATAAATATTTTTATTCAAGCGAATCGTTAACATTTGTAATTTGTATTCTTACAACATTTGAAATAACATTTTGGACTTTGAATTTACTTCTTCTTTATATTGAATATAATGATATACCTGCTATTGACAAGTATCGAATACAAAAAAGTAGACCAAAGCTTCGCTTTCAACCGGAGGTTGTCTGCAAAATTAAAAGTGAAACCATAAAATACAAAGTACTTGTTCTATGTTTGTTGCCACTACTATATCAAATATTCAAAATAATCGGCCCTGCTAGTATTCGATCGCCCATTCCGTCACTATTAACGATTGCATGGCAATTGAGTGTATTTATGGTCGTAGAGGATACTGTATTTTTTTGGACACACTATTTATTTCATTTTGGTTGGCTATATAAACATATACATAAGAAACATCATATTTTTAAACAACCAACTGGTTTCGTGGGTCCATTAGCTCACCCATTAGAGACATTATTTCAAAATCAACTTGGTATTTGGCTTGGACCCTGTCTAATTAAAGAAAATCATATATTTATATTAATCTTATGGACAGTAATACGCACTTATCAGGCAATTCATGCTCACTGTGGTTATGATTTTCCCTATATAACTCCACAATATTATTTCCGATGGTTTTACAATGGTCCGGTAGAACATGATTATCATCATGAATATGGAAGAATGAATTATGCGAGTTTTTTTACAGTATGGGATCGATTAATAAAAACAAGAAAACGGTGTGAGTATTGAGATGGTTGAGTCCTTTCATGAGCAATCCTAGATCCACATCCACACTCTGAAAAACGAATAGACTAACATTAATATCTTTGCCGTTTCTATAAAATCAAACTATTGCTTAGATTACTTAAACATTTATGAAATTAATTACGATATCAAAGAATAGATTTCAGCACATTAAAAAATAATACTAGTCTTTGACTTTTATTTTGTATGTTTTCATTAATCGATCCCATACTGTAAAAAAACTCGCATAATTCATTATTCCATATTCAT